TTCCCTAACTGTGTTTCTTTGTTTTGTCAAGTTTCTCAGTATCTCTTAGGAATCTGAAGCACTTTGATTGTGAAGAAAAGCAGGACCTCATAGTAAGTACTACCAGTAAACTGTAACTGCAAGTGTATGCATGTGTTGGGAAAATAAAGTTGTATACAGAATGTATAGCTGACCCTGCAGGAGGAGTGTGGTGCAGCTGACTGGTTTGGATTTGTTCACTGTTATCTGTTCTCTCTCACTCAATTCAGCAAAGTAATTAAATGTAATTTGTGCTCCACAAAATGGAGAATAATATGGGAATGGGACACCCCGAACACTTTTTTCCTTCTTGGTGAGGCTGCTGCTAAGAATACATGTGTATGTGGAAGGCGTGCAGTTGCTTAGGACTTTATTTTCACTTGTGGGTTTTCTACCTGCAAAGCCGTTCTCATGCTGCATGACAAGGGATGGCAGAAATTGAATTTCAGGAAATGCAGAAAACTGAAGTAAACTTTAATTCATTATTGTTAGCCGCTTCTGTTACCTGGTTAGTGTCCTAGACCTAAAAGCTTATGTAGGCCACTCTTTTTAGGACTGTAAATGGCTCTTGTTTTGCAGGAACGAGCCAAAGAAGATTATCGCCAAGAAATTGAGTGGTGTATTCGATTGATTTCTGACTATCGAATTAGAGTAGGTAAGCAATGAGTTGGACGATGTATATCGGACTGGATGACATCAGAAAGAAGATAACGGTCTGCTTTGTTTCATAGGCTTAATTGAACTGATAAATAACCCTGTTTGGGCTTTTTAGGTTGCCATTCTTTTACGGGATCCTTCTTGGAATATTTTGCTGCCGATATCAGTAAGTGAATTCATTATCTTTTGTATTCTTCTCTTAGTAGGTAAAGTTTAGCTCTAAGTTTACTTACCTGTGTTGAGTTAGGCGCCAGACCCTGTGAGGGAGTGCCATTAAAATTACCACACACCATTATTGCACTCTGACAATTGGTATTTAACTTTTGTTATGGGACTGAAAAATCAAAAAGACAATCACGTAACTGGTTACTTCACTTTGTAGAGAGTTCACTTCAGAGCTCCTGTCAGAGTTTCAACTCCCTAATCTTTTTTTTTTAAGGCATGTTGGTGGTGGGTTTTTTACCCTCTTTGGTAGGGGATGAAGAAGAACTTATCTCTTACCAAGAAAAGTCCTTTACTTTATATTTGCGTATGAAATGTCCTTTATATTTGCATATGTAAGTATGTATGTGAGAGAGCCCCTTGTTTTGTATATTTAAGCACAAATGATTGTGGCTTTCCTTTCAGGCTACCCAGTTAGGAAGGAAGCCTATCAAGGTTTAGTCCAAATGACCTTTCCAAATGTGGCACAGAAAGATATTGAAGAATCTTCATCAGAAACTTCCCTTCAGAAGCCCTCCAAGAAACTTCTTCCTGACAGAATGAGAGCCGCTAGAGATAATGCAAATAAAAAGATAGTGGAGTTTATAGTGAAGACTAAGGGGGCCGAAGAGCATCTTTTGGCTATTTTGAAAAGCAGAAAATCCCGGTGGCTGAAGAAATTCCTGAATTCAAGTCAGTACGTGACCTGCATTGAAACGTATTTAGAGGATGAGGAACAACTAGACCTTGTAGTGAACTACTTGAAGGAAGTATATCGTGAGATAGACACTAAAAATCTGCATCAAGTAAACAGAGATGGAGTAAAATTTATTTCAGATGTCCTTTTGCCTGAAGTAAGTAAACATGAAACACTGAGAAAAGTAAATGTTATAGTAAGTAAATTACACTCAAATCACATAACCCTAGTGTTATAACTTGTGGAGTGTTCCCCAGGAGCTGGGTGATGTTTGAGCTGGATGCCTACCTTAAGGATGAAACTGCTGAGTTTGTGTATCTTGAGTGAAGAATGTTACAATCGGTGCAGGAGGCTCTTAAGCCATGTTCATGGGCTGGTAATCGGGGAACAAATATGTGTACATTACATGTTGGAGAAAATAAACAAACAAAGCAGCAGGATTAATTGGTCCATGCTTCTGCGGGCGCTGCAGACGTTGGCATTATTGGGCTGGCAGGGTTATGGGCAAGATGAGAACTGGTGTAATTCTAAACGCTGATTTTTAAGCCATTAGTGCAGAATGGAGAAGCTTGAAGTAGCATGGTGTTTTTAAAGGCAGAATGACTGCTTTCTGGTGATTTCTTTTAGTTCTGAAACTCTTCAAAGCTTTGGGTTGGTTGATTTGGTTTTGGTTTTTGTTTTTTACTTTGGGAATGATAAAGGACACTTTATTTAAGGTACACAATGAGCAGTTTCATCCAAGTTTCCTAAGTGATTGAGGAGCCTTGTCCTAAAAATGTGCTCGTCTACTGAGACAGTTTCAAATCACTGGTGGTAATTTAGCTTTTGTTTCACGAGTATAAATGAACTAAATGCTTTCATAGGCCATCATTTATGCGATTGCTGCTGTGGATGACATAGATTACAAGAAGGCAGAAGAGAAGTACATAAAAGGACCATCTGTGAGCAAAAGGTATCTCTTTACTTTTAATATTCTCTGAATTTTTCTTACTAGTTTACTGTTTATACAGAAAAGTGTTGAGTATAAGGGCAGGAGAGTTCAGTATCCTCCCTTCTGTGAGGCAAGCTTTCTCGTTGCCTAAGTAACGAAATGCTTAAACATGGGAAACATTCTTGCTGAGCTACTGTAACACACTGCAAACTGTTGAATATGTTACAATTATTTTCACTACAGGACTTCAATGTATTTCTTTTCAGGGAGAGAGAAATATTTGAAGAAGAAATTCTAGAAAGGAAGAAACGCAAGACCAAACTAGCATCTCCAGACAGCATCTGAACAGTGGTACAAACTTTCCCAAGTTATACTGGCACTGAGTGTATATAATGCAGAAGTGGTTATTTGTATAAAATGTGTAACTTTTACTTTTTAAAATCCATGTGTATATCTTCAAAAGATGTAGTTGCTATAATGGTGTACTACTGTTGGATACAGTTGTATCTTCAGTTTCCCTGCTCTCAATTCGGCATACTGGAGCTGCACGCTGCTTCCCTTGGTCTTGTCACGCTGCACTGCCTGTAAAAGATGATGCAAATCGTGTAGGAACGCCTCAGTCCTCACCCATTCAGTGCCCTTACTGTGGAACTTGCAAAGACCGCAAGTGTTAAGCAGAGCTTCTTCATATAACATTAAGGCGTTTTTTTAATGAATTATTCTGGCCAAATATCTGGCATAGGGAAGGGCTGTTGTCCTCAGAAAAACATGTACTGGGAAATTATGTAGCCACGTCTTGCCTGATGACTGTACTGCTACTGAATGTCCGCAGGTTTCCTACCTGAGAACATTTCCAGCAGGTCAACTGTTCCTGCTTTACATATCTCTAAAAGTGTAGGAAATAAAATTGGTACCTAGTGGTGCAACCTGAGTAACACAGACTTTTTTTGTTGTTGTTGTTAGGGCAACTGTAAAATGCAGTGGAAAAGGAATTCAATGTTTGCTTAAAAAAAACAAAATCAGTTTTCCATTTAAAAGTGAAACCATTTTGAATGCTGTTTTATTGTTTTTTGAGGCCATGAATTTAGGAACTCTTTTAATTGTCTTTTTCTATCTGATTGGAATATCAACTTAATAATGTGTAGTTCCCTCCCCTAGCTTTTGCTAAAGGTGGAGTGTATTGCAAATTGCCTTTGACAGACTTGCGGTGCTATTGATAACAAATGATAAAAGCCCAATGATTTGTATTTTTCTATATTATAGTGCAGATGCCATCTACTTGCTTGTCCAATAGAAACCAAGATGATTTGAAATTAAGGAAGAAGTTTAAATGTAAACTGGGATACAGTTTTCTGGCTATAGTAATGATCAGAAAATATTTTAATTACACTTTTTATTACTCTGTATTCTATGATGAGTTTCAATATGCATTTGGAATCCTTATTATGGAAGGGACATTGAGAAGTACCTAAATCATAGGAATGAAACAGGTATTTAACTGGACTGGTCTTTGTTTCCTTAAAACCTGTGAGAAGGGTTAATGCATTTCCTGGGATAGCACAGGAATTTAATGATGCATTTGATAGAGTTAACGCTGGAGCTGAGTGACACTCACAATGCAGAAGTTTCCAGCCCATAACCCCAGGTGCTGTTGTGGGTGCCTTCCCGTGGGCGTATCCTCAGGTTCCCCCCCTGTTAAAACCTAACGGTGTGTACACTTCTTAATTACAGTTCCCAAAGTGCTGTTAAGATCCTTCTTCAAACCAGGGCCCAGAAGCAGAGCTCCCCCATCACCTTGCCTTTATCTCGGTCCTTACTTTTCCTACCTTTTGGCTAAGGCTATCTTGGTTTGATTCACCATGGACAAGTTCTCATTTGAAAAATCAAACTATCTTCTGCCTGAGGATGACTAAGAGTGTATGTTGTCTAGAAGCACTCTGAAATGTTTACATCTTTAAAAACCACATTCAACTTCTGAACCAGGTGGTAAAGGTTACTTTCAGTACCTTACAGTAATCAGTCTTGTGATGTGCAGAATTATCTGGTCTCTAAGTAAAGCTGGATGGAGTGAATCATCAAAGGCTTGTCATTTGTTTGAATGTGCTCAGGGCCGAGTCCTGCACTTGGGTCATAACCACCCCGTGCAACGCTACAGGTTTGGGGAGGAAGGGCTGGAAAGCTGCCGAGCCAAAAAGGTGTTGGCGGTGTTGGTCAAGAGCCAGCAGAAGGGCAATGAAGTGGTGAAGGGTCTGGAGAGCAGGTCTGATGGGAGCTGCTGAGGGAACCGGAATGGACAACAGGAAAGGGGAGGGTGTACCAGGGGAGGTTTAGATTGGATATTAGGAAAAGTTTCTTCACCCAAAGGGTTGTCAAGCACTGGAACAGGCTGCCCAGGGAAGTGGTAGAAGTCACCATCCCTGGAGGGATTTAGAAGATGTGTAAATGTGGTGCTTGGGAAATGGGTTAGTGGTTGGACTGGCAGTGTGAGGTTAACAGTTGGACTGGTGATCTTAAAGGGCTCTTCAAACCTAAATCATGGAATTGTTTATTTCAAACACTGATTTTTAAGCTGTGGTCTTGGGTGCACACAGGCAGATGTTCTTCCATCCCAATTTTATATCAGGCGAAGATTATTTTTGTATATCAGATAAAACTGTAGTATCTTGTGAAGCTGTGTGACTGAAACATAATTAAATGTAGGGATGAGTACAAGAAAGCAAACTTACTGTTTTCTGTTCTTGTGCTTTATTTAAAACAGGTACTTGCATACTCATCCCTGCCAACAGCAAGCTACTCGTTACAGTTGTTTGGTTTTAATTGATGTGCCTTTGTCTGCTGAGCTGCCTCCTTCACCCCGCAGTGTTATATTCCCTCCCTGCATGTCATTAAAACAATTTGAAGCACGATTTGGCGAGGGTGTGGTGCATCCGCCGACGCCTGAGCGCCCCGGGAGCGCTTTTGGGGCTTAACGGAGAGAACCGGGAGGTTTTGCTGCTCGGCAGCGCAACCCGAAACCCGGCAGGAAAAGGAGGAGCTGCCGAAACCCGGGATCGAACCAGGGACCTTTAGATCTTCAGTCTAACGCTCTCCCAACTGAGCTATTTCGGCTCCTGTGTAAGGCCTCCCCCAGTGATAGCAGTGGCCTGTTCCTCTCCACCCCGCACCTGGCCTGTAACTGCTTGTGGTGATTTAAATAAAACTGGTGTTTATTTGTATGACGTTGCTGGTCACCTTGAATACCGCAAATGAACTGATGACGGGTCTTTGGAAATAAAATTGTGCCTTAAGGCAAAGACAAATGCAGCAATAACACAAAACTATATGTATACGTCTATGCACAATACATAACCTACATGAATTTAGTATCAGGATAAAGGTGCCTTGGCTGTGGCTCCCTGGAGTATTTGGGGGTAACAGAAACTAGAATAGTCTATGGGATTCAGGAGTGTTAAATGGGCAGGTTTTTTGCTTCATTTTTCAGGGATTTTATTTTGAGGTCTGACAAATTTTGTATAGAGCTGTTGTACCACAGACAGACATGAATAGAAAGGGCACCTCCGTCCTCATTTTTCCATGGTCTTGCTCAGACATGAACCTTCCACCGGAGAAGGTCCATGTGCCTGCATAAATCACAAATCCTAGTTAAGCACAGTTATAAGAAAAAGTAGTTTATTCTCACATGGCAAATTAGACATTTATTTCAACAGGCAACTGTTATCACACTCCTGTGGCTATAGGTCAAAGGCAGAGCACGCACCCGAGAGCACACATGGCACTGGTGCTGGACACTCATGTCTCAACTTTGTGTTAATTTGCACATCCCATGGCTCTTGAAAAAGCTACCTGCAAGAGCATCCCTATTCAGGCTCCCTGCGTGGGGAGAAATGCTGCTTTGCACAATTATCCACTGCTGCTCCCTCCTATTAGTTAAAAATAATAATAAAAAAAAAAGCTAAACCATCACGCTTTCTTCCACAGTAACAGAGGAGTTCAACAAATCCCTCCTTTTTCAAGTGTGAAAGCAGCAGCCTTTTCCCAAAGCAACCCTGTGAATATTGGGTGACACACCCCCTCATGTTTCCCTTTACTTTCAGAGTATATTTTTCCCCTCAAGTTGTCCCACTTTTGGAAAGACTTTTGTGACCAACCATTGTTCTTCAGGAGCTGACATATTTTCAGAAGTCAAAATGCTGAGGACTAGACCGGCAGTTTAGTGACTGAAAACAAAAACTCTTTAACAAAAAATTTCAGTTAGGGAAAGGTTAAAAAAAAAAAACAAACCCACAACACAGCATTGTACTAAAGAGATGTGCTAACAACATACTGATACAAAATCTCATATCCTCATGATTTTCCATTGCCACTGGCAATGATTGTTTTGCTGAGAAGTGATGAACGTAGTCACTTAATGAGCATGTCTCCTACTGAGACAACCAACAGAATCTTGTGATCCTCGGTGCAGATAAACTCCAAATGTGTGATGACATGTGTAGAAATCAAAACACTATTGACTTTAGATTTTTCATGCATTACCACAAAAATCAGAGCTACTATGGGCAGATGGGCAATTCTATTTTTTAATATTTTTAAAAACCTTTGTTTTGCCAGGTAAAATGGCAATGGAAATAAAAACTAAAGGTAATGCAAGACAAAATGAAACAAAAAAAAAAAGGAAGATTCAGTCTCAGACATAGTATATTTAATAAAACAGACACTTTCCCCCGAAAAAACATCGAGGTTTTTGTATGTTCCTCTTACTGAAAAATAGAAACATATTAGCATTCAATAGCTACTTAAAGCGCATAAGAACACAGTTTTAGCATAACAGAGCATTCCGATTCCAGCCAAAGCTATTCACAACTTTCTTCTAGTGGGAAACCAAATTTGTGCTATTTTGTACCCCTCCAGAATAGGGATTGGAGTAAAGAACGAAACAAACAAAACGAAACCAAAAACCAAACCATCCAAAACTGCAGAACTGACAGCTATCCCCAAACAATTTCCCAAGTGTGAGCTTCTCATCCACGATGGGAGCTGGATAGAAGCCCTGCGCCAAAGGCCAGCCCTATCTCCTTTAGAAAGCTTTAGCAATTTAAACGGCGTGCACTTTTACTCCATTTATTCTCTTTTTGGTGTAACCTCACTTTGTTCTGTGGCACAAACCCTCAGAAGAGTAGACCGAAAGATTGCAGTGTTCACGGTATTTTACATCACTACCTTTGCCTTCTGCAGAAATGAGTCTTCGCATCTTCCAAGTAAAACCAGTGACATATAAAACTTAAAAGCATTACACTTCTCCACATTAACAATTTGCTAGTTGATTCTTTCTACTTTTCTTCCTACAG